GTGTGTGTGTGGTGTGTCGTGTTGTGTTCTGTGTGTCTGTGTGTGTGTGTGTGTGTGTGTGTGTGTGTGTGTGTGTGTGTGTGTTCGCGCGCTCACAGTGCATTCTGAGATGTAGGTGGCTAGGTCCTGCTCCAGGATGCTCCTCTGGGTCTCTGACTCCTTCAGCTCGATGTCTTTCTGCTGCAGCACAGACTCTAGGTCAGACATCTTCCTCTGCACCAGAGAGACCTCCTGCTCGACCTGAGCACACCGACACACACGCCACTCACTTTAAAATCTAAAAACAATTAGGACATGTGATATTGAATCACTAAAAACTTCAGCTTGTTATTGTTTTACATGACTGTATTTTCAATGTCAAATGAACTATCTTTAGCTAAATGTTAAAGGTAGGTAATGTTGGAGAAACCAGCTCGAGTGCGCTAGAATTTGAAAATACACAGCCGGAAAAAATCTGCCACTTCCTCACAGAGCCCCTCCTCCAACACACACGAACGAGCACATGACCAATGAGGGCACGAGATAAGTTTGTGCCCAGATGGAAGGCTGTCAGGCAGGTAGGCCATCCAGTTACTTTAGCCGGCTCAGATGATTGGTCGAGCTTTTTACAGCGCCACGGCTTCCACTGATGATATTTCTTTATGGATTTATTGTCAAAGCATTTAATGTATTCATTTCTATCGGGATGTTAAGAACATTCCATGGAATATAACAAGTGTTTCTGAAGTGAATTACCTACCCCACCTCTAAGGCTTTTTACTTACCTGCTTTCATTTCACATGTATCTATTTAACTGTTTGTTTTTCAGTAATTAAGGGTTTTAATAACTTGTACATTGGTATTGCCTCTTCTTTGTTTTTATGTCCTTATTAAGTGCTGCTTTTCTTTATTTTGTTTTAATTAACTCAATATCATTTGAAATGACGGTTGTCCTGAAAATCCTCTTTAAGTATAAATCAAATCAAGTTTTATTTATATAGCACATTTATAAACGATTTTTGGTGGAGCCAAAGTGCTGTACATATAATAAAAATAGCCTACAGTAGAGACACTTTACAGCAAATACAACAGCACAGATTGTTCAGAATATCAGTATGAGAAATACAAGTTGAATTTTCTCTGACAGTTTAGGATCATTCAGTAGTTCTTTAGTCCCTATAAATGTAAGTAGATAAGGTTTAATAACAGTATGAGTCACAATGCATTCGTGACGATGGCTGCAGGATTTGAAAAAAAGGACAAATTGTGATTAATTTCCAGTAATATTTCAACCCTGAAATTGGGTTAAATTGATCATTTTTGCATCTTAATTCTCATTAAAATATATATATTAAATTGATCATAGTGCGATGTTTTAAGAGGATCTGTAGCAAACAAAGATTTTATTAAATCTCCAGCTCCACACGACTTCATTCAGAGGATATTTTTAGCATTTATTTGAATATGTCACTATTGCGATTTCAATTGTGATTAAAATGTCAATATTTGTACAGCCCCCACTTGCGATGTGTGTGTGAGTGTGTGTGTGTGTGTGTGTGTGTGTGTGTGTGTGTGTGTGTGTGTGTGTGTGTGTGTGTGTGTGTGTATGTGTGTGTGTGGCCTAGCATTACTATACTTGTGGGGACCTAAATCTGTTTACATAGTCACGTGTGGGGACTCGCCTACCTTATGGGGACAAATTGGAGGAATCATTAATTTTAGGGTGAAGACTTGGTTAGGGTTAGGGTTAGGGTTAGGGTTAGGGTTAGGGTTAGGGTAAGGTTAAGGGTTAGGGTTAGGCATGTGTTGGTTATGGTTAAGGTTAGGATAAGTCTCCAGGAAATGCATGTAAGTCAATGTAATGTCCCCTGAAGTGATGTATACATGGTGTGTGTGTGTGTGTGTGTGTGTGTGTGTGTGTGTGTGTGTGTGTGTGTGTGTGTGTGTGTGTGTGTGTGTGTGTGTATGTGTGTGTGTGTGTGTGTGTGTGTGTGTGTGGTGTGTGTGTGTGTGTGTGTGTGTGTGTGTGTGTACAGGACTGCACATGTCAGTGGTAGCAATTGATGATACAATTAGCTGAGCCTTTAAAGCATTACGGCCTGAGGAGCATTGGAAAGCAGATACACACACACACGCACACAAAAAAACACACACACACACACACAGAAACACGGCGCCACAGCATGGGGAATCCAACCTTATTTTACTGGAAGGCATCGCTAAGATTTCCTATTTCTAACACACACTACAAGTCATGTTCTGCTACGATCATGGGAGTTAGTCTTTGCTGTCAGCTTCTCACTGTTCTGATTCCGATTTAATTAAACGAGAGATTTATAATTGGAGCTGAATGAACCACAGAAGCCTCTTCCTCCCCGAAACAAACAGCTAACAGTTACGCTGGTTTAAATGGAGATGAACACTGAATAAAGTGTTTTCAAGAGTTTCTTTAATGCAGCTCGGCTGAACACGGACGTCCCTGAGGGAGATGAGCGCCTAGTTGCCACTGATGAACAGCTTGTTTATCTGATAGTATAAGATTCACGCATTTAGGAGGTTTTTCTAGGAGACAAAGTATTTTCAGAGAAAGATAATTTTCCAAAAAAGACAAAAACAGGTGATTTGAACTGGAAAAATGCAATAATAAAGCAGCTTTAAAGGGGACCTATCATGCAAAATGCACTTTGTGATGTCTTTTATACATCAATACGTGTCCCCGGTGCGTCGGGGAACTCACGCAGCGTCAGAAAATAAAACCCTCTCTCTTTTCCTCCGTACCCAAATCTTTTAAAAACGGGTGTACAACGAGCGGATACAGATTTCCATCCACTGTGACGTCGGCGGACCCACAGAAAGTTGCTGTCAGAAACAATGCCTGACGAGTTTTGGACGTAATCTCGTCTTTGTTTACATTAGCCTCGCTAACACTCAGAGCTAACCTGTACTGGAGAGCACATGTGTTTAAAAAGCAGGAAATAAAAAAAGGAACTCACCTTGTGATAAACCTGCAAGAGAAAAAGCATTTGAGCTCCATACTGTTTCAGAGATAATCCTTGATGTGGTTTAGAACAGGGTGGCGTTTTCATAACAGCAGAATTTAACTTTATCTCCGGTAGAATTCTGATCAGGCATTAGCTCCGCCTCCTCTTTTTTTTTTTTCAAGCTAAGGACCCAAAATCCTTGTTTCTCTAACAGGGCTTCAAAAGAGGGGTTTGAGCAGAATGAGGCACGGCTACAACGGAGGATCTGTTTGGTGTTTTAAGCAAAACACTTCACAGACATGCTTTTGTATAGGTATGGCCCAATATAGCATGATAGGTCCACTTTAAGTGAAGAATCAGTGTTACTCTGAAGCTTTGCATCTAAACGGGCATCCCAGAGTAGCCACTATTATTTAGTCCGGTTGTTTTACTGGTAAGTTCAGATCTGGACATGAAGGAGGTTATTCTAGATCACATGTGTCAAACTCAAGGCCTGGGGGCCAAATCAGGCCCGTGGTGGATTTAATTTCGGCCCGCAGGATCATTTCTAATTCCTATTAGATCTGGCCCTCCGGTATATTGCACGCACACCTTCGCTCCATCCTGAGGGTCTCCTCAGCTCAGAGCCTGAGCCCAAACATTGATGACCTTGCACCCAAGATGAGATGCCAAGTATCTGAGCTAGCATCACAGAGCAGCACACTGAGTTCAATGGATGTTTCCTTCTGCACTTTCTCTCTCACGACAACAGGGCATGTTTGGGTTGTTCTTTGAGGGGAATAGTTTTGTTGAAGCTGTTGTTGGCCTGTGGGAAAATGTAATCATAAGAAATGACTCTGGAAAAGCTGCAGATAGAGCCAGAAGAAATGAATGCAGCTGATTATTTAATGTTGTTTTTATAGGCAATCATTTAAGCTTTGTTAGTTCCAGGTTGAATATGTGCAATAAGTTCATTTCAATAAGTTCTGCAATAAACATTGAACCAGTCCGGCCCTCCACTAGTTCCGTTTTTTTAATTTTGGCCCACTGTGTGTTTGAGTTTGACCCCCTGTCCTAGATGATGAATTATCCACAGAGGACTTCACATCCTCAAAACAAACGGTGACGAAAGCAGCTTTACATTGAAATTAAAAAATAAATTATGCAGTTTGGCTGTCGCTAACGTTAGCTCAGCTTGTGTCTGATAACTTCAGATCCAGACGTCCCATGGCTAAAAACCTTCATTCTGTTACACAATAGAGGTAAAAACCAGGAGTATTTCTGCACAAAAGGTTTTGTAAGAATTGATTATCAATAATAAGACGTTTTTTCAAGCGTTTAATCGTTCGATTCTTGTCCCCTGCATGAAAATAATGTTACCTTTTATTAATATATATATTTCCTAGCAGTTGTTGTACTTTAGTCGTTTGTAGTGTAGATTGTACAACTGAAACAAGGATTGCCCCAATACCACATACAGTCAGAGAATAATACAGACTTTCAAGATACATCAAAACACACACACACACACACACACACACACACACACACACACTGCAAGCTGACGAACAGATGGCTGATTTGTGAAAACAAACTCTTACCATGTGAAGAGTAATACCTGTGACATGTGTCTGGAAATGTTCTGTTTTGTGTTTTTCGATGAGACTTATCCGGAGGAGACGGTGTTTGCAGAGAGTTGATGGAAGCAGTGGCTGATCTGTGGGAGAGAGGAGAGAGAAACATGATGGAAAACTGACTTTATGAACCTCTCCTGAAACCTGAATCCTGCTTAATAGGGCCTCTTTAAAATGAAGACAAATTACAGGGTGATAAGAAAGCAAAAGATATTTGAAACGTTGGAAACATCTACAGCCAGATGTGCTTTTATATAACTCATTTAAACTCATTTGAAATGCTTTTCAAGACACCTGCTCCTGGAGATTCAGGTTATTTTGAAACAAATTAAAAGCAGAATACTTAAACGTCCTTTTACCCAGTTTAGGACAGACTTAGTCTTAATTTAACTCAATATGGGATAGTAGGTAGATATCCCATTCACTACACACTTCTCATATCAAAGGACTTTTCCGTGAAGGATTTCAAACTGATTTATTTAGCAAAATGAAAAAGAAGACACTTTCAGACATGGGGGTGCACTGTAAATAACGTCATTACAATAACAACATCAACATCTGCTATAGCAGGCCATCCAAAATTAATACTGACATGCGTTTGTGTCATAATCATTACTTATCACTTAATCCATATTCTCCTATATTGAAGTCCATAATTAGTTGTAACCCCCGTTGAATGTACGATGAGAATGAAGCCCACTCACATTTCTATGGCAATGGCAACAAGTGGCAGCTGATGTTAGCATATATTAGCTTAGCTTATTCTTCATAACAACAATAAGCAGAAAAAAGTGCAGCAACAGCAAGCTAACATAGCTTTTTGACATCTATCTGCCTACGATAATGTTCCTCTGAGGGTCTTACTTATTTGTATACATGTTCTGATCATAAGAACAGGGAGGTCTCTGTTAGTTGAGAACAAATGCAGTTTGGCCTTTTCTTGCTTTGTGTCAGAAATTCTCAATGCATTGTGTTAAAGTTTTAACAATTTGAATCACAAGTCGGACATAAAAGTACAAAAATGGAGGACCACTTTTATACTGCCCTAACATATGAATGGTGATTAAAATCAGACAGAGCCATTAACTTATCTTACTTATTTTGTATGATATAGTCCGTAGATAGGAAGGATTGCCTTATAGATATACAAATAAATAAGTATATGTTATGCCAATGATTAGATCTGAAGATGGGGAAATGGAAAACATCCAAGAAAAGCATAAAGAGAGTATTTCTAATAAACTCCATGATAGACAGTATCCAGTAGATCTAGACATTTGAAACATGCATTAATTACTGATAGCTAATCAAGTAAATGGGTCCTTATTAATGATATTTCAAAAGCAAATCACAACACTGACTAACACCACAGTAATTAGCAATCAGCCAGGGAAGACATATAACACTTATTCACAGATGACTAGCAGACAGAATATGTTGTTCACAGGAGAAACATACTGTGCTGCTGACCAAATCCGCACTCATATTCTCGCTTAACGGCGAGGCTATAAATAGCTCGCCTGTGTTCACACAACAGCTCTTCTTTTACCACCGCTGGATATATTTGGCAGCTCTTGTGACGGTGAGGCAGCCAGCAGAATGAGCGGCAGAGGGAAAAAGTCTATTAAAAGCAGAGCTCACCTCCCACTCCTCCCTACAGTAACACGCTCCACTCATAAGCACTCCAGTGTGGATTTACTGCTGCATTATTGAGTATTATCATATATTATCTGTTTTTCACTGTGCTGTAAAGAGTGGTGCAGAGATTACGTATCTTTGCAAACACGAGGGCTACAGTTGACTTGCAAATATTACTGTGGCAAATATAAGTTAATTATATGTTTTGTTCAACAGGATAATCTCCAGGATAATGATTTTTGAAGTAAAAAGACAACATTAGGTTATAAAGGAACTACAGCACGGTCACATGACTTCACGTCACCACCGCTAAGCTAAAGGTGGCTAATGTTGGGCTATAAAGGAACTACAGCACGGTCACATGACTTCACGTCACCACCGCTAAGCTAAAGGTGGCTAATGTTGGGCTATAAAGGAACTACAGCACGGTCACATGACTTCACGTCACCACCGCTAAGCTAAAGGTGGCTAATGTTGGGCTATAAAGGAACTACAGCGCGGTCACATGACTTCACGTCACCACCGCTAAGCTAAAGGTGGCTAATGTTGGGCTATAAAGGAACTACAGCACGGTCACATGACTTCACGTCACCACCGCTAAGCTAAAGGTGGCTAATGTTGGGCTATAAAGAACTACAGCACGGTCACATGACTTCACGTCACCACCGCTAAGCTAAAGGCGGCTAATGTTGGGCTATAAAGGAACTACAGCACGGTCACATGACTTCACGTCACCACCGCTAAGCTAAAGGTGGCTAATGTTGGGCTATAAAGGAACTACAGCGCGGTCACATGACTTCACGTCACCACCGCTAAGCTAAAGGTGGCTAATGTTGGGCTATAAAGGAACTACAGCACGGTCACATGACTTCACGTCACCACCGCTAAGCTAAAGTGGGCTAATGTTGGGCTATGAAGGAACTACAGCACGGTCACATGACTTCACGTCACCACCGCTAAGCTAAAGGTGGCTAATGTTGGGCTATAAAGGAACTACAGCGCGGTCACATGACTTCACGTCACCACCGCTAAGCTAAAGGCGGCTAATGTTGAGCTATAAAGGAACTACAGCACGGTCACATGACTTCACGTCACCGCCGCTAAGCTAAAGGTGGCTAATGTTGGGCTGTAAAGGAACTACAGCACGGTCACATGACTTCACGTCACCACCGCTAAGCTAAAGGTGGCTAATGTTGGGCTATGAAGGAACTACAGCACGTTCACATGACTTCACGTCACCACCGCTAAGCTAAAGGTGGCTAATGTTGGGCGTGATGACGTTCAGTCGTCTCATTTAGACACTAGTTAGCAACCTCTGTTTTTAAATTCAACAGTAGGGTATTTACTGACGTATTTTATGTCGTAGAACAAAACGTTTAAATCTCTTCAACTTGTGTTAACCACAGACCTTATTTCAAGCTAACAACCAAAAACATATTCAGAAAACCATTGACTTCCAGACGAGGGGACAGGAAGTGGTAAAATACTGACTCAATTCACAATTTAGGGACTCATTCCTGCACCAATTTATTGTGTTAACTCTCTTTGACCATCCAATTGCTGCCCAGAAGATCACATCAGTAGCATCTGCTTCAAAAACAAAGCCAAGCAGACTGATAAATAAACGGACATCACGAGTCTCCAGAGATGACGCTGGTGCTTGCTAATATTTGCCCAGAAATGTCACTGATGTAATCATTTTGTTTGGAGGGTCATTTGAGGGGTGAGTTGTTCAGTCACACAGCAGGCCTCACAGAATGTGCTGCATCAGAAGACTGCCTGGTATTCATGTTATATCAGCGGGACATCATGTTGGAGCAGGTGGCGTCTAACGGGTGACGATTGCATGAGCAGCGTGTTAGCTGAGGTAACATTTATCCTGCAACCTGCTGATCTTCAGCCTGGAAGAACATTAACAGGTGTCTGGTTTAGATAACATGTCAAATTGTTCTGGATCTACAGTAAAACCAATTCAAGGTGTGGCTCTGAAACATTTAAACCTTGCAGGTGAGACCATGAGACCATATTTTGTCGAGGGTTCATTTCTCATGGTGGCTTTTAGAGCTTCGAACCCACTTATGAATCTCTTACATATGTACTGAGATACTACTAACCAGACATGTGACTCAAGTCATTTGGTCCAAGTAATTTTTTCTTAGGTAAGTCAAGTCAAGTCAATTCGCCCCAAATAACTCTAGTCGTACCGGCGATATCTGGTCTCTATGAAGAGAAATAAAGGTAATACTAGGATCAAATTCAATATCACGATATGTCTGAAATAAATGTAATTATTCCGACGATATTAGAGGATTGACTACTGGTGCTTTTACAAAATTCACACAATAAAATGTATAAACAGTCATCAGTATTGTGGATACAATGACTAAGTGGCTAGAGGAAAATATAAAATAACAACAAGAGCAGTCTGGTTAATTCAGAAAAAGACATTAAACCAGGAGAAGACACTTAAGACAATATCTAGTCTCAAAAGATATTTAATCTCCATCACTTTAAAAATACTGAAATACTGACAGCAAGACTACAGTGTAATCAAACAGCTGATGAATTAATGAATCATCCAATCAAGGCAAAGTAGAGATTGACTGATAGATATCAATGCCATTTCCCGCCAATGTTACACAGACAATTGTTATGTTGTCTTTGCCAATATTTAGCATGTTCAATATTTTACATATGAACTAAAAGCATTAAATGGACAGACAAGTCATCACACTATGACAATTGTTACTGTGTGCATTTTTTTATAGTCCCTGTAGGGATATGGAGCTTTGTTTTAGTGACCATTTTACAGTTGTTTTCTGAAAGATGTTGCTCTCTTCAGTTGGTCAGAAGATTTTACAACATTTTTGGAGTCGTTGCAAGTCATCAAATCAGCGAGTCGAGCTGACTGGAGTCCCATTGACCTGAGTCCACACATATCCGTTGACATTACTCCATGATTTAGCGTTGAAAACTTCTTAAAACCTGCCCCAAGGACCCCCTCGGCAGGTCCTTTTTTTTTTCCACGACACTGTGTCTCAGGGGATCTTAATATTTAAGAACCTATTAATGTGTTATACCAGATTAACGGGAATAATCTCAGCTAACTGACGATACAAACCATTTTTACCAAAACAAAACACAAGTCTCATAAGAAGCATCTAAATGACCCCTGAGCGAAAAATGCTAACGCACTTTGGCACATAACTCAAGATAAAAGATACCCTTATTACTTATCGTAGCTGCACATACAAGATATCCGATTAAAGCTGAGGTTCCACAGATTATTTAGGTATATAGTATCATTACTGAGTGATCCGATCTCGCGACAGGGGAAGCAAACACAGACATCACAACACGTACCTTTACGTAGCTTTTACGGGAGATCCTCTCACCGTAGCTGTCAATCTGATCAAAAGACTTGTTCAATGGCATTAAAACCAGA